GAATCTTCGAGGTGTGACACCATCCTCCTCCAGCCCCATCGACATGTACCACGCCAGCCACTCCTCCTCGATGACCAAGGGCTTGGCTGGGTTTCTCCTCAGGTACGGCCAGCGGCCGGCGCCGAGGGCTTTGCACGCCTTCTTGAGGGCGGAGACGGAGAGGCCCTGAGGCAACACAGTCAGCGCTGACCTCGCACGACCCTCCGTCCTTGTGCTCCCCTACCTCTGCCTCCCTGCTGCCTCCCCCGCCCCCTTGCCTCCCTGCAGCCGCTCTCTGCTTCTTCCTCCTTGTGTCCTCTACCTCGCTCGTGGCTCTACTCACCAGCTGCCGGGCTGCCTCGGGCTGGCTGAGGTGCATGAGCGAGCAGATGCGCTCGCGGGTGATGCGCTGGAAGAGGGGACGGCGAGCTTGGTCAGGTGCGAGGGAGGGGGGGCGTCGGGGATAGACGATGCGAACAGTCGGGAGGGAAGGGAGAGGAGAGAGGATGCTGGAAGGAGGAAGATCAAAGGAGGGCGAGGCCATGGGGAGTGGCGGGAGGAGGGCAGAGGCAAGGGAGGCAAGGGGAGGCGATGGTAGTAGTTGACTAATTTATTTGCTGCTAAAACGATTTTAAGATGGGTCACGAGACTTGGACCCTCTCCGTCCTTGTAAGGGAGCGCGAAAAGGTGTGAGTTGAGACGCAGGCTTGAAAGAGTTTTAGCCTGGGGTGTTTAGATCTCAGCGACGGTCAGCCGCAAGCTGCTGAAAAACTTCAGGTTCAGGAGGCACGGTTTCACCTTTAGCCTGAGGCTCGCCTCAAACGCACCGATTCAATCAGCCTTCAAGGCTTCCGTCGGAATACTAGTCGGTGCCAGGCTGGCCCTCCTTTAAACGGAGGCTCAGTCACGCGGCCCGGTGTCACTGACAACGGTTTAACCGAACGGTTACCGGCGCTCAGCTCCGACAGACTCCGGGCCGTGCCGTCACATTGGCGCTCACGGCACACAAGTTCCCGACTCAGGCGGCGGTCCGGATGACAGACGGGGCACTGCGGCAGCACTTGGCAGTACGGTATTCATGATAGGTTCTCGTTTGTCCTAAACTAGTCTTTTTGTACCTTTAATCACCGTCAGTCAATGTCCGGGCACTGCCGACAATCTGCTGCCGCGGTGGCCCATCATGATGATGATCAGCTGAGCCGCAGCGTACGATCGGACCGGGGGCCGCCGGGCCGCCGCCCGCCGGCCCGGACTTGGAGCCTCGGCGACACCCGGTGACCGTACCGTGACTTGTAACTAATAAAAACCTCGTAATGATTTTTAACTTAACTTTGAATAAAAAGCACTGGTATACATAACATTATTTGTATTATAATGGTACATAAAGTGGAGGAATGTAGTACCATTACATAATGATGTTGTAGAACACTGCAATACAAAATCCTCGATTATTGTTTTATATGTATAAATAATAATAGTTATATACAGCGGCGAAATGGCTCCTCTGAAGGCCGGCGTATCGGAGTGAAGGGGACGAGGAGGAGAAGAGGAGGAGGGAATGCTGGGGGTAGGGGGGAGAGAGAAGAAGCAGCAGAGGAAGAGGAGGAGCGGGAGCGGGAGCAGCAGATGGATCAGTGGAGGAAGCTGGATGTAGAGGAGAAAGAGGATGGCATCATTAAGGGACCATTCCGTAGTAGCGCAGAATATGAGCATGGGGAGGTAGAGGGACTGGAGGATTTTCATCAGCACGAGACTTCTAGCATGAGAAGGATGAAGAGTGCAGACGTGGCACGAGCAAGAGATCCATACGAAAATGAGGAGAGGAGAAGAAGGGGGTGCAAGAGGTCAACTGACGTTTGTGGAAGGTTGCGTGATGTAGTTGTGACCGACGACGTCACAAGTGCGGCAGACGACAAGCATGATGTATGTTGACGATTGTTTCATGCCTCTGTGAGCAAGGAGACGAGAAGCAAGCTTGCCTTAGCCCGCTGGTGTTGCTGTACCGGGTGCATAGATTGAATCACTATCGATGGGCAGCGAAGGGTCGTGAGGGTCGTTTGAGAGTTGAGCATGTCCTTCACGCAGAAGGATGCTTCTGACAGCAAGAAGTCCAAGATCGCGATCCCTCAGTCGTTCGTCAAGTTGGCCGTCGGTAAAGCCTTTCGCGCGCTTGAGAGCGCAATGCCGCATACTGCTAAGCAGCAGATCGACTCTTTGGGGATCAGGCGCATCGCAGGCAGCAGCTCTGACAGCACCGAGGAGATCAGACGACTGATGGACGAGAACGCAGCCCTCATGGGTGAGGTGAACATGTGGAAAGGAAGGTGAGGAGAAGAGGGGAGCGGGATCAGCGGGAAGGGAGTGAAGCAGATCTAAATGAAGAGAATGGCTGAGGATGAGGGGAGGGTGGGTTGAAAACGAGGGGTACAACGAGAACCAAGTGGAGACAAGGAAGGACGAAGGTGCAGGAGCAGGAGCAGGAGCAGGAGCAGGAGCAGGAGCAGGAGCAGGAGCAGGAGCAGGAGCAGGGTGCAAGAGCGGTGCAGGAGAGGGAAAAGCAGAAAGAGAAGGAAGAGAATGCAGGAGGTGGAGAAGAGATGGGTAGAGAAGGCGATGGGAAGCACAGGAGCTGGAGAAGGAAAGGTGGGCAAGGAGATAGGAAGGGTTCAAGGCAACATGCTCTTCTCGGTCTTACTGGATTGCTTGTCAGGTATCGTGCGCTGCAGAGTCTATGCGAGCACATGGAGCGAGGGGCAAAGATCACCCCAGAAGTCCCTTCGCGGCAGATGGAGTTGTTTGCAGCCGCCAACCCCTCCCTCAGGAAGCGAAGCATGGTCTCCTCCTCCGACGCTACTCCGGCCAACCTCTGCCTCTCCCCTCCCCTCCGCCCTTCCTCCCCTCCGCTGGCTCAGGCTGGGAACGACGAGAGGGGAGGAGAGCTGCACGGGAGTTTTCACCTTGCTCCTGCCTCCCAGGAGCTCTTCACCGAGGAGTGCGGAAGGAGCGACCAGGGCTGTCTCGTAGGACGGAACCTCTCCGGCATCTCCTCCAGCACGTTCCAAGACGCCATCTCCGAGTACGACGAGGACATGGGTAACGAGCGGCTGCTCGAGCACCTGGTTCTCTACGGCGTCTCGGGCAATACAGCGCATGCCATGTGGGCAGACGCGCTCAGCAGTGGCGACTCCACTTCCTCCTCCTCCTGCGTGGCCTCGTGCATCCCCGAGCAGCTCTGGTGCTATCCCAGTGTGCCCGAGGTGCGAGAGTTGGAGCAGTTTGCCTTCCCTTACCAGGTTTGCGGGGTCACTGCAGCTGGGGAAGGGAGAGTGAGTCCTTGCCAGGTCCCTGTCCAGCTGGAGACGAACGACAGCTGGCGGCATCTCCTCGCGGAAGAAGGTAGAAACTCGCGCGCTGACCTCCTGCTCCTGCTCCTCTTCCTCGTTATTTATCATCCTCCTGGTCCTTGTCCTGCTCAGTGTCCTCCCATCCTCCTCCTCCTCCTCCCAACTCTGCGAACCGTACATTCTCCTGAATTGCGTGCCCTCGTCCTCTGCCACTCCTCTCTCCTTCCTCTCTCCGCCCCTTCGCACGACCCTCTTTCATCTTCCTTTCCTTACC